CGCATGGGCCGGTGTGCGCAAGCGCACACTGCCCACTCAGCATTGCAGTCATCGGAAACCCTCCCCTCAGCGGGGCGGGCTTGCGATGATCACAAGTACGATCTGCCCGTTCAAGAGCTTTTAATTACCTTACAGGGTCAATACTTTTTCCCAGTTTTTTTTGGTAAAATTAGGTACCTCGGCTTATATTCGGGACGGCTTATACTCGAGTATATACGGTACACTAAATCTAAACACTAATACTGTGGGGATTGCAATGGTTAATACTCTCAGGCATTCTCTTAAATGTTATATCCTTACTAATCACACCTTAAAGCACGCTTTACAAACACCAGCTTTCAACACATGGTAGACCATAGAAAACAGAACACAAAAAGGACAACTAAGTCCCAGTTTTCATCTTACTTTACACAAGAGCCATGCTTTTGCTATAATGCCATCTCCAGCAATCCATATCAGCAAAGCACCTCTCCTATACCACCTGTGGCAACGGGCAGATGAAGATGTCTGGGTATAGCCAGGATGGCAGATTTGTATGGCCCAGTTTCAGGTATAATTCTGATGTTTTTCCTTTAGTGGCAAGTGTTGAGAGGGTTGGAGGCTAAAGGTGCCCATACACCTGCCGATTATCGTGAGATAATCGCGGGTGATCCCGCGATCGTACGATAATCGGCAGGTGTATGGAAGGCGTGCAACCTTTTCTACGTCTTTTGTCTTCCGAGCATGCTTGAAAACCTGCTGAAAATCGTCCGATTTTCAGCGGGTTAGTGGCGTGCTCGGAAGACAAATGCCGAACTGGCCGGTGTGCGCAAGTGCACACTGCCCGCTCAGCATTGGAATCATCGGAAGCCCTCCCCTCAGCGGGGTGTATGGATGGCGTGCAACCGTTTCTACTGTACAGCCGCACGTCTTTTGCCTTACGAGCATGTTGGAAAACCAGCCGAAAATCATAAGATTTTCGGCGGGTTTGTGGCGTGCTCGTAAGACAAATGCCGCATGGGCCGGTGTGCGCAAGCGCACACTGCCCACTCAGCATTGCAGTCATCGGAAACCCTCCCCTCAGCGGGGCGGGCTTGCGATGATCACAAGTACGATCTGCCCGTTCAAGAGCTTTTAATTACCTTACAACCATCGCAAGACGAAAGTTGTGCAATGGTTGTAAAGTGTATGGCCAGCTTTAAGGTCCCCATACACCTTACAATTATCTGCAGATTGTCTGTGGTCAGATGGAAAAAGTGCAACAGCTTGGCCCAGGTGGAGATTACTTCATCCACACAGTTAAGTGTAGATGGAGGAATCTATTGCACTTTTTCAATCTGACCATAGACAATCTGCAGGTGTATGGCCAGCTTTAGAGGTAACAAGCTCAGGTGAAGCAAGCTGGCTGATTAGGACCTCCATAAGATATCCGGGATTGCTAAGTGAGTTGTTCCACCTGTGAGATAGAGGACGTCTCTTTGCAGGAGTCAGGAGGGCTCCACCCTGGAACCAGCCTGTATGGCAAGCTGGTGTGATACAGCCTGTTTGGCAATACACCTGTGTGGTGAGAGCCAGCCTGTGTGGCAAGTCGTTAGAAAAAGTACCTGTGTGACTGAGAGAAACAGTTGGGACTAGTCTGAGAAACAAACAGACAGAGGACCAGTGGGTCAAAATGGCCAGATGCTGAAAGTAAGAGCCGGGAGGCTGAATCTGTGTGTTCTTTGCAAAATACTGTCTGTACATTATGTTGGAAAACCCCTGCGAGGGAAAACCTGTGTGGACCGTTGAGTGTTTGAATCAATAAAAGTGGGCAAAGAAGCCCTAAAAAGAAGACTTAAGCGAGTGGAAGTGTCCTTAATACACTACCGTTTGGAGCCAATTCTCACATACCACATACCCATATATACCAATGATGAAACCAATGTCCTCCCTACAATCAGAATTGTGCTGATAGAACCTTATCAGAACCTTACCTTACATATCACCTTACTGTACTGTACTAAGAACCTATCAGTGCCTGACAGAACAATATTTCCACAGATCCCATCCTACATGTGACTGGACCTGTGGCCCCATAAAAAACACTTAACTGTAAAAAAACAAAAAACAAGGAACCCTCCCCATGGCATCCAAAAATGCCACTTAATGCACAACGACATAGCAATCTTCTCTCTTTCAAATGCTTCATCACCAAACCTTCCTTACTGAACACCAGGAAACAAGCATGGGACAATTTTAAAAACGGCTGCAGCTATTTCTCTGCATTGTCTATCAATAGAAACCACTTCAGAAACAACATGGGGGCGTTGAGGGGACCAGTCACTGTGCAGTGCATTCAGCGGACTCAGGTGTCCAGTCCCCAGGACAGGAAAAGCCTCTGAAAGCAGAAGTCAACTTTAGAAAAAAAAAAAAAAGGAAGGAAAAAATACCTCTGCACCAGTGGTGTCACTGGAAGGAAAAAATACCTCTGCACCAGTGGTGTCACTGGAAGGAAAAAATACCTACCAGTGGTGTCACTGGAATGTAAAAATACTCCAGCATCAGTAGTGTTACTGTAAGAAAAAAAAAATACCTCTGCACCAGTGGTGTCACTAGAAGGAAAAAATGTCCCTGCATAATGGTATCACTGGAAGGAGATAATTTCCCTGCATTAGTGGTGTGACTAGAAGGAAAAAATCTTCCTGCAATAATGGTGTCACTAGAAGGAAAACATGCCCCTGCATTAATAGTGTCACTAGAAGGAAAACATGCCCCTGCATTAGGGGTGTCACTAGAAATAAATGCCCCTGCATGAGTGGGGTCACTGGAAAGAAAAAAATGCCCCTGCATTAGTGATGTCACTGGAAGGAAAAAAAATCCCCTGCATTAGTGATGTCACTGGAAGGAAAAAAAATACCTTGCATTAATGGTGTCACAGGAAATAAAAAAATCCCTTGCATTAATGGTGTCACTGTAAGGAAAAAATGCTCCTGCATTAATGGTTTTACTAGATGGAAAGAATGCCACAGTGTGGGTGTTAGTGGGAGGACAAAATGCCCCTACATCAGTGGTGTCAGTCTGAAGAGGACTGCTATGGTATCTGTGTTGATGGGATGACATGGTAGGCCCCTGAAAGGCACATTTAACTAAGAAGCCCAGTGAGGCTCTACGGGCCCGTTCCCATGGCATTGTGTTCAACGCAAGCTATAATACAGCACATCTAACTTGAAGTATTGTGTGTTATGTGCATTGCGTTGCCATTCATTTGAATGGCAATGCAACTCACCTGGCTCACGGTACCACACACTGGGTGTGCTCTGTGAGAGCATGCATTTAACACCTGGATTTATACTGGTACCTGTGATCTGAGACCTTATCGCCTTTTCTGTGCATGGGCTTCCCTCCCCCATTAAGAAGGGAAAAAGCTCATTTGACCTAGCTCTGTGGGTCTACCTCCCCAGGTGAGCACTCACTTGATGTCATCACTCACTGTGTGGAGGTGAAGGTCTGCCTGCATTGTGTGATTATCCTTACTTGAGAGTTACATGCAGATTGGCTGCGAATCATCTGAGGAATTTTTTTGCACAATCACCATTGTTTGCTTTTGTTTTTTCCTTGGGACTTTTTTTTGTCTATATTGCTTTTTTGTCTTTGTGTAGATATTTTCTATGCCTAATTTGTTTGAAGGCTCATATATGTGACTCATTTATATATGTTTCAATTTATTAGATATGTATGATTATTAGCTCGGCACAATATTGTTTTTCACATTTTCCAGATATTTAGTTATATCCTTAGTGCTTGGTAGCTCTTATTTCCACATTTACACTTACTGGCGCTGATCACCTTTATTGTTTATTTTTATGCATTTAACATAATGCCATGGTGTGACCAGGCCCTAAAGGAGAGAGGGTAGCTGAGGGGCTTTAATGAAGGCATGAGGCTCTTTGGGGATTTGAGTGTCACCCCTGTCATTCAGGCAGCTGGAGAATGAAGTGCCGTTGTTCTATCGAAAGTTCCAACTTCTCGACCTCTCCAACTGGTGACGTCACATCCGGTGTCTGCCAGTAGGAGATCTACAGCAGATGGTGCTAGTGCGCATGCCCAGGAAATCCTTGTGGAACTGTCTAACTATTGCCACAGCGCCTGCGCGGCTATCCACTTCTATAACCAACTAGTTAGATTTGTCCTAGGTTATAGAAGCCGATTAGCTGATAGCCGCGCAGACGCAGTGGCTATTGCCTCATCGGATTCTATAACCTAGTCAAAGGTTATATTATGTTACAGCGTCTGCGCGGCCACGATTCTTTCTACAACCACAGTTGCCACTGCACCTGCGTGGCTATCGGCCTCTATAACCTAGGACAAATATAAGGCGCAGTGGCAATAGTCAGACAGTTCGACAAGGATTTTCTGCCCACGCGCACTAGCTCCATCTGCTGTACATCTCCTACTGGCAGTCACCGGATGTGACATGCCCAGTCAGAGAGCTCGACAAGTCGGAGCGTTCGATAGAACACCGGCAAACTACTAGTATCCCCCCCACCCATACAAAACAGATGAACATGGGGCCAGTGCCCTTCTCTTGTACCAGCCCTGATGGGCAACCATACAGCTCAACTGTCCCTTATTTGGAACCAAGCCCCTCAGTCCCTATTTTCTCCTCAGTTGTCCCTCATTGTGGTCTTATGTACAGATATCTATGAACATTTAACTACCAAAAGTGTTTTTAACATGCAAAAGAAAAAGATTGACAGCAAGAGGGTTAAACCGACATAAGTAACCCACATGTTTGTATTAATGATTCATTATTTGTAGTCCTCATGCACTAATGTGCTGAGTGTCATGTGACGGCCTGGCAGGAGCTCCCATTTAATTTATATCTTCAGCCGGCCCCGCCCCTCCCCTCCCCGTCCATACATGGTATTACCAGCTGTACCTGCAGAGGGCGCTCCTCACCAGACACTCTACTTCTCAGCACGGCTCACGGCCGCGCTTGCCTGGCCCAGTTCTCTCCCACAATCCCCCAGTGTTTCCGGGTCAGGTGTCGGGTGTAGCGGTTGCGTTTGTTTTGGGTGATGATCCCAGGGCATCTCGCTGCACAGTATGGCCAACCTGCCGCCCGGGGACCCCAAGCTGGTGTCGCTGATCGTCAATCACCTGAAGAGTCAGGGCCTGTTTGACCAGTTCCGCCGCGACTGTCTGGCTGATGTGGACACCAAGGTGAGGGCTGTGGGGAGACACACGGGAGCAGTGTGAGAGGGCACTGACTGCTTGTCTTTGTGGAGGCTGCAGTGAGGGGGCCGGCACTAGGAGAACCTGTCCCTGGACTAGCCTGTTACTATATGGGGGAGAGGATAACGCAGGACTCCATGTGTGTGTTTTGGCTTCTTGGTAAATTCTTCTGTTGAACTTCCCAGTAACCCCACATCTGAGTGTCAGCAGTATGCCAGTCATGGCTTCAGCCACAGGTCAGACCCTAATGCTTCTGGCAATGTGTGCTTTCCTCTGTATGGATGATGAAGAGTGGAGGTACAGGGATTGAAAGGTATGAAGGATGAGGAGCAAAACCCTGGGGGGGAATAAAGAGCAGATGTAATGCAAATGGAGGCTGAGGTGAGTAGGTATGAAGGATGAGGAGCAGAAGCACAGGGATGGGGGATAAAGAGCGGAGGTAGGGCACGGAGCAAGACTACAGGGGACGGAGGATGGGGAGCGGAGCAAGACTACGGAGGATGGGGAGCGGAGCGAGACGACGGAGGATGGGGAGCGGAGCGAGACGACGGAGGATGGGGAGCGGAGCGAGACGACGGAGGATGGGGAGCGGAGCGAGACGACGGAGGATGGGGAGCGGAGCGAGACGACGGAGGATGGGGAGCGGAGCGAGACGACGGAGGATGGGGAGCGGAGCGAGACGACGGAGGATGGGGAGCGGAGCGAGACGACGGAGGATGGGGAGCGGAGCGAGACGACGGAGGATGGGGAGCGGAGCGAGACGACGGAGGATGGGGAGCGGAGCGAGACGACGGAGGATGGGGAGCGGAGCGAGACGACGGAGGATGGGGAGCGGAGCGAGACGACGGAGGATGGGGAGCGGAGCGAGACGACGGAGGATGGGGAGCGGAGCGAGACGACGGAGGATGGGGAGCGGAGCGAGACGACGGAGGATGGGGAGCGGAGCGAGACGACGGAGGATGGGGAGCGGAGCGAGACGACGGAGGATGGGGAGCGGAGCGAGACGACGGAGGATGGGGAGCGGAGCGAGACGACGGAGGATGGGGAGCGGAGCGAGACGACGGAGGATGGGGAGCGGAGCGAGACGACGGAGGATGGGGAGCGGAGCGAGACGACGGAGGATGGGGAGCGGAGCGAGACGACGGAGGATGGGGAGCGGAGCGAGACGACGGAGGATGGGGAGCGGAGCGAGACGACGGAGGATGGGGAGCGGAGCGAGACGACGGAGGATGGGGAGCGGAGCGAGACGACGGAGGATGGGGAGCGGAGCGAGACGACGGAGGATGGGGAGCGGAGCGAGACGACGGAGGATGGGGAGCGGAGCGAGACGACGGAGGATGGGGAGCGGAGCGAGACGACGGAGGATGGGGAGCGGAGCGAGACGACGGAGGATGGGGAGCGGAGCGAGGCTACGGAGGATGGGGAGCGGAGCAAGGCTACGGAGGACGGTGAGCGGAGCAGGGCTACGGGGGGAGCGGAGCAATGCTACGGGGAGCGGAGCAAGGCTACGGGGGACGGTGAGCGGAGCAAGGCTACGGAGGATGGAAGATGAGGGGTGGGGCATTGAGGTACAGAGGGTGGAGGTATGTGATCACCAGATGGAGCGGAGGTACAGGGGATGGAGAATGAGGGGGCGGAGGTACGGGGATGGAGGGTTAGTAGCGGAGATGCATGTTTCGTATTACACCCTGAATATGGGTGTAACATGAAACATTGTTACAACAGATGTACTTAGTGTTTAACTGAAGCTAACCAGGGGACCTGCTGTTTCCACTAATAGGAAATACACAAACATTTTTAAAATGGTCCCATGCTTGTTTCCTGGTGTTCAGTAAGGAAGATTTGGTTGTGTGGCATTTGTGAGAGAGTAGATCGCTATGCTGTTGTGCATTAAAGGAGAACTGAGGTGAGTGAATTACACTCATCCCCATAGTTAGTCGACGTGTGACATTAAAACTGTCACAGGTCGGCTCAGTTAATCGGGAAGTGAGCGATCACCCTGACTCCCTGCTTCCCTCTCCAATCCTCCAGCGCTGACTGGAGGGATGGGGCGGACGTAGCTGGCTCTGCCTCTAAATATGTGGGGCCTGCTGTTAATCAGCCAGCGGGGTGGATCTCAACAGTATTGCCAGAATCCACCCAGGCTGTGTTGCTCTCAGCAAATAGTGGGCAGTAGCCTGCTATATGCTGAGCTTTGGGTCAGTGGCGGACGTTAGTACCCATGACCCTAAAGAGAAGTATAGGGGAAAAAAAGGTTTCCCCATAGTTCTCTTTTAGGTTGTTTTTAATTTTTGGCTGTTATTGGTTTGGATAGTAAAGTGTTTTTATGTGAGCACTGGTCTAGTCACATGTAGGTGATTTGTACAGTTAGGGTGGGATCTGTGGAAATAATGTTCTGCGGGGCATAGAGAAATATTGGTACAGTACAGGAAGCTAGAGCTGGACAAATCCCAGGAGCCAGGTCACCACTGCTTCCTAAAATGTCAGCTGGTGGCAACTGTTGAGGTTTTCTGTAGTTATCAGTGGAGCTGGCTCCTGGATTGGACAGACATTAATTTGTACACTCCTGCAGTAAGGTTCTATGTATGCGGCCTCCTGGATTCTGATTGTAGGGAGGACATTGGTTTGATCATTGGTGTGTAATGAAAGAAGACTGGGAGCTGGTTGTCCTGTTTGTGTGGAAGCATTGTTCTGTTTTCCATGGTCTGGTATTTGCAAAGCATGCTTTCAGGTGTGACCTTGCTGTCTGTCTGGATGTTGTGAACAATATTAATGTGTATTTGTAGTGGGTGACTAAATGTTTGTTTGGAGAGGTGCTAGCCTGCGGCAGCCAAACTCATGCAGTTTGTTAAACCATTAAAATAATGGTAATGAAGGATGAAGACCACATCCTGAAAACAAATACATGAGAAAACTTGTATCCATTCATATATACGGTACATATGTTTACGCAGAGCCATCTTGTAGTGTACACAGAGATTTGTTATCTCTAAACAGTGACACAACCTTTTCTTCCACGGCTACCATGCAGGAGACCAAAATGGTTTTCTGTAAACTCTGGTTGCCTTTCTGTTCCCTGTCTAATAAATAACAATGTTGTATACTCTGGTGAAATGTTAAATGCACATCCCTTTATATGCATAGCTTAAGACTGCTAAACCCACTATGTGTAGCTTTGTTGTGTCTTTACATTTTGTGGGATTATGTTGGCAAAAGTAAACCCTTTTTATATTCCGGGGAAGTGCAGTAGCATTTTGCTTTTAAAGGATAATTAAAGCCTCGTATCTTTTTGCATATAACTACTGCTAGCAAGCAGTTGATATATGTAAAAACATTTTTAAAGAAGGGTTAAAACTTACCTGTGTCTCCGCCACGCTCTCCCGTCTGAACATCAGAAGAGTCTCGGGCGACTGCAAAGAATCATGGGGTGGCCGCATGCGCAGCACAGATCTTTGGCTGAGAAGCGAGGAGAGATGCAAGGTAAGTCAATACAAGCAGTTCGCACCCGCACAGACTCCGTGGGACAGGAAGTGCCAGGAAGAGAGAGAGAAGTCTGCGTTGGATCGGAGACCGGCACCAGCGCTGGAGGGACTCCTGGAAAGATGATGATCGGATCAAGAGGCATCACTTAAGGTAAGTCCTTACACTAGCATGGGGGGATTTGCCTTTAATGTCACTTTAAGGGCTGATTCACACCAAATACATTGGCCGTCTCTTCCAGCGTAGCCCCAATACACAGACACATGCATGTCCGCTTACATCCGGCTCCCCATAAACCTCACAATGGTCCGGTTACTTCAGTTTTTTTCCTTCATTGCTAGACAGAAGAGAAAATTGAACAGACACCGATGTCACAAGTGACATACATTACATACTGCTCCCATCAGCTGGGGATTCATGCACAAATTCCCTGCTGATCGAAACAGACACTGCCCATGTGAAAGGGGTCTTGGAGGTTGGTCCCTTCAGTAAGGAGGTGCCTGCATCCCTGAAATTCCCGTTTTTAATTTTAACTTTTGTTTAATGTCGCAGAATTAGTTGGTGACTGCAGACCAGTATGCAAATACATTTGCTGCAGTAATTAAGCCAGTTGTTATGTCTGACAACTAAATCCACTAGATGTCATCGTGTTTTGTCACTTGCTATGATTAGTGCTTTATCCTCTTCTTGCTTTCTCTGTCTTGTAGCCTGCATACCAAAATTTGAGACAACGAGTTGACAACTTTGTATCCAGCCACTTGGCAAATCACACTTGGAGCCCTCATCTGAACAAGAATCAGCTAAGGAATAACATCAGGCAGCAGGTGCTCAAGTGAGTCACATCTTCTACAGAAAATTAGATATTCTGCCTCTTTCTTTCATCTTGTAGCTCATTTCCTTCCATTGTTCTGCATTTCAGTAAATTATGGGTGACCATTGATCATAGATAATAGCCTGACTGCTGAATGAATTCTTCTTCAGTTGAGATGCAGCATGCCTGCGTAGACACCCCTTTTCCCCATTAAAGTGACACTAAACTCAGGAGTTAAACCTTAAAAATGCATTCAAGTACCTTCACTATTAACAAAAATGTATCTTATTTGTGTATCACTCGGCTGTAGATCCTCAAATCATCTCTGAATTGGTGCTGACACTGTCCTTCCTTCTGGGGGGTGGCTCCTTTTGTTCCCCATGGTCCCTGTGTATGTTGTAAAGTAGTCACAGCTCAAAGCTTCTAAATCGCTGTAGGAAGTAAAACAAATACCTAGTTATAGTACTGCAAGACTTCACTTCTGGAATGTTTAAGTCACCAAACCTTCATATGCAATGCCTCTGCCCACTATGTGCATTTCCTCCAGGACTGATTGTCAGTATAATAGCTTAAAGTGATCCTGACCTGATGCTTTTGTTCTTTTTGCAAAATAATTATTAAAAAACACATTCCCGGAGTCCCTTTAGTTGTTCCTGCTTCTCCTTGCTGGTTACTGGGTGCTGCAGATTTTAGCTGTGCACTGAGCTTATTGGTTGCCTCTGACTGATGACACATCTACAGGAATGCTGGGAATGTATTCTTTCACATAAAGCTCAGGAACAAAATGATTGATTGCAGAGAAAGCTAATGGCTGTAAGAAGGGGGCCAGAGGACAGTATGTGATTTGGTGAATGATGGAGGTTGTTTAGACAGGTTATGTAAACTTTTGATCAGGGTCATTTGGGTAGTTTCTTTTGTCATTATGATTTGGAAAAGAGTAAACACAGTTGATTTGATAATAAATGGCTTCAGCCAAACACTACCCATGAGTGACAGGTTTTCGTGTTATCATTCATATTCTCTGAAAAATGGCCACCAAATCATAAATTCTGCCAGGGTATGTAAAATTATGAGCACAACTGTGTGTGTGTGTGTATGTGTGTGTGTGTGTGTATATATATATATATATATATACACAAAAACATAACATACACTGGCTTGAGGTGTGCTGGATAAAATAAGCGGTTGTATACTTTGGCCCGTGGACAAATAGGCATTGGACATCGACTCACCAAATAAGTGCTTTTCTCACACAGATGTGATGGGGCTCTAAATACTTACTGGAATGGCAAGTTCAGTGTAACTATGGGCAATTATTACAAAGTTTCATTGCTTCAGTCATTGTTAATTTTTTATTTTTCCTTCTTGATATGCATGTGAAGCTGTGGTCATCATGACTTACCCTGTTTTTACCATTTTGTTGTAAATTGTGCAGCAACCTGCCATCTTGTAACACCTATGTTAGAGTGAATGCACCGGCATTCATACTGCCAAATGGTTGAAGCCAGTTCAGATAATTGCCCAGTTACATTAGTCATTTGGAAACATTGTTCTGTTGCATTTTAACATACAAAACATGTGGTTGTTTTTTGTTTTTGTTTTTTCTTCAGGTCAGGAATGCTTGAAGCAGGGATTGACCGCATAATATCCCAAGTGGTGGATCCAAAGATAAACCACACATTTAGACCTCAAGTGGAAAAGGTTGTACAAGATTTTTTGGGTACACTACACAACAAGGAGGATGCCAATGCAAATCATGAGCAGATTGAGGAGAAGTTTGAATCTTCCATTTCTAACACTGGTACTTTTTATTTCTCATAAGCTTAAATCAGCCTTGGTTAGCTCATGAGCCTCCCTAGGAGAAGCACGGGGGCGGCCGGGGGGGCGTGTCTGGCAGGGGGGCGGGAGGGAGCTGCCTCTCCGCTCTGATGCCATCCAGAGAGCAACAGATAGGTTAGCGCGCGGGTAGGTGGGTGGGCGAGGGGGCGGGAGGGAGCTGCGGCCGTCTTCACATGTAAAAACTAGTTACATGTGCAGCTACCCCAAAGGTAAGACCTAGCGCTATCTTCAGGGATGTCTGTAATATAAGACCTACCCCGAACTAGGTCTTATTTTCGTGGTAGGTCTTATATTACAGAAATCCCCGAAGATAGCACTAGGTCTTATTTTCGGGGTAGGTCTTACTTTCGGGGAAACACGGTAGGTGCTGGGCTGACCCATCGCCTGCCACCCAATAAGTGTCCTGACACTTAGAAACTTCGCTACATAGCACTGAAGGTTGTATAGCACCATAACGCTTGACCTTTTTGTTCTGTGGGCATGTTGACATCTGTGTTACTCATCCCTCAGTTGTATTGGTTTTGGATTTGTGTGGTTAAGGCTTCCAGTCCTCTATTGTAAGAATTTTGACTTTCTTGTAAATTCATTATCCTGCAGTACAGTACAGTACAGGACACATGTCTGCCCTCTCTGTTTTTGATTATGCCTTATAGCTTGCTAAAAAAAACCGAGGCAGGCTGCTGTTGGGAGGCGTTATATGGGCTTTCCTAACAACAACTCTTTTGCCAATGTCTGATCACCTGAAGGTAGCTGCATACAACACATGGTCTGACTTTAAGTCCTGTACTGGACGGATAAGTAATTTACAGGTGAGTCAAAATTCCTGTATTGGAGTGCGGAGGGGAAGTTGTGAAATCTAAGAATAGTTTTCAATGCATATAGAGTTTTAAGTTTGAGAAGTGGTATCCATTGAAGTATTGTGACGGATGTTTCTTCTGTGCCATTTTTCCAAAAGGTTCCGTCTCTGCAGTTGGACCTAGCACGAGTGTAGCTAATGATGCCATGTCTATTTTGGAAACCATAAGTTCCTTAAATCAAGAAGCTACAGCTGCCCGTGCCTTAACAGAAAACTCAAACCATAAAAACTTTGAAAAGGTGTCCAGAAGACTGACACAGCAGAGTATAGATGCCTCATTAGAAAAAGACCGCCCATCAGAAGATATACAGGATAATGAAAAACCTGTCCCTGAAATTCCCAGTGAAAGTGTTGAACAGGCTGTGAAGCAGGAAGATACAAATGACATTTTACCTCCTGTGGAAGACATAAAAAACTACGTCAGTGAAATGGTTGCCTGCACTCAAAGCAAAGACAGTGTGAATGACTTTGACGAGCAATGGCCTAAAGCAGCTGAGAAAGCAGAGAGAAAAAATGAGACCCTTGAAAAAGTAGAAAAGAAAGATGAAAAGAAAGAAATAAAGACTGAGAAGAAGAATGAACATGTAAGAAAGACTGATGAGGCCACAAGGCAGAAGGAGGAAAAATCCGTGAAGGAAAAAGACAGTGACGCAGAATCTGTAAAACACAACGCTGAAAAGAGCAGCAGTAAGCAGAAGCCTGTTGAACCTGTAAAAGAAGGTATGTGACTAAAGTTCCACACTTTATTATTCGGTAATTTATTAGCACGAAAGCTCAGCTAAGACAAACATATGTAAAGGTTTAATAACTGTTCAGTAATTAACTTGGAGACCTAAATGTTCTACAGTTTTCTAAAATGCTTTAAACCTCCGGGCGAAAAAAAACAAAACAGAAACTGCCCCAGCTTTACTGTAGGGCAACTTCTTCAAAGCAGAACTACACCCTCCTATTCCTTACAGACAAGGAAGGTGAAATCTTACCATCTATTTGGGTTGCAGTTGCCATGGTGCTGCACATGTCATCGGCTATAACACCAGCCATTTGAGAGCTTGGAAGTTCGGTTGAGAGCTGAGATAAGCACACTGACAACCTTGATAGTTGCCATGCCTTAAAATTAACTGTTTTGGGAGACCTTAAATTGGTGGAAAAAGTTCCTCTTTAAGATGCCTTTGGCTTTTTTTTTTTACTCCCTATCACTTTAGGAAATGGTCTTAACTGTGCTTGTGGCAGCATTTCCTGTTTTAGGAGACTGGTCACCCTATCTGGCTATATGTGTGCTGGATGACTGGTCTTTTTGGCAGTCTTCTCTAATCTTGCATGACATGGAGCGTCCCCCAGTCTCTCCTGCCTCCAACCTTGAAATAAGTGGATCTTGATCTTGAAGCCAGTATTTGTTAAAGAAGATTCTCTCCTGGCAGAAAAGAGCAAAGTAAAAGGTGAACGGGCGACCTACAGATGAGTAAATGGGGGCTTAGAGTAGAAAATAGGACTTGCTTCAGAGATGAGCTTATTGGTGAGACGCATTGAAACTGGTCTGGTGCAGTTAGGTTTTGAATAATTGTATATCCACACAGAGTAAATGGAGACTTCATACTCCTATGATTAGGTTAGGGCAGGGCTCTATTGTTCTGGAATCAGAATTGGGAAGACACAGAATAGGACAAGGGACAGACAATTGGGCTGCAGAAATGCTAAATAATGCAGTTATCAATCTAGCAAATTCTAAACAAACCTCCATGTTGATATAGAAGTGCATAATATCTTTGCACTGATTGTGTGTAGGTTTGTTGAATTGCAGGTACTTGATTGGCTGTGGGGGGGTACTTCTGCTTTTTGAAGTTTCACAAACCAGCCCCATGTCTATTCAGAACTCCTAATTTTATGTCAGAATCTTGACAAAAAGGCTGGACTCATTGCAAGAGCCAGGGTGTCTTTAAAAAAAGTCAAGTCCTGTATAGATTGATCCACCCCTGCTTACCGTCAAATACCTCCAAAGAAAAAGTCTATTTTGTATGTTAAGGAATGATGTCCTTCAGGACCAATTAGTGTTTTTCTTTTCTTGCTGTAGAATGCCCGTCTATTGATTCAGACCTGGATGCTATGTCAGATGTGACCGTTAGTTCAGTCCACACCAGTGATTTGTCCTCGTTCGAAGAAGATAGTGAAGAGGAAGAGGAGCCTGTGTCTGATAGTACAGAAGAGGGTGAAATTACATCTGATGGTAGGTTCAAAGCTGATTCTCTATTCTGGTAAGAATATCAGCCTAATTCTGTTTTTCCATTTTAAGCGTAAGGTATAGATTCTACTTTGAAATGCTTCCTGTTCATTGGTAACTTGTAATTATGTCTAATGGAGTATGAATATAGCAGAGAATAGTGTTAGGGCTTGTTCACGCAATGATATTGAGCTGCATTTTTCTGCACACCATGGCACATCTGGTGTGAACAAGCACTAACTCTGCATCTTTGATGCAAAAAAATGTGCTTTCTTTGTCAGCTCTTTTACTCTTTTTGGATTATAAAAAATGGTTTATTGATATTACAAGGGAAAAAATACTTTCCTCATTTTTGTGATTTCCTATGGTTGGTGTTTCCCATTCTAATCCCCTTCTTTTACTTCAGATGAAGACAAAGTCAGCACAGAAACCAAAGCTAAATCAGCTGGTGAACCGAGTGAAACAAAAGCAAAGGGCACTCGGCAAGCCTATGTGCACAAACCGTACCTGTATTCAAAGTATTACAGTGACTCTGATGATGAGCTGACCGTGGAGCAGCGCAGACAGTCTGTGGTAAGCTTGTGCTTCTTCTAACATGCACATTTATTTTCTAATGCCAGTAAGGGAGGTCAGTTATGGTAATTGGTAACACCTTAAGTGTGATTGAACTACACAAAGTTGCCAGCAATGGAGTAAAGGAAACCTTTCCTGAGAGAAACTTGGGGCTGCCATCGCTTCTCTTCTGCAATGCAAGTTTCTTGACTGTCATATTTACTTTTTTTACCTGGATTTACTCTGACTTTACCGATTTCCATATTTGTTCCTGGTCAGTGGTTCTAACATTAGTTAATCCAATGGGCCAGTGTTGTAGCCAGACAATTGGCAACTTCAGAAGGTGGTTAGTAATTGGAGCCCACATGCATCTTTTAGAAAAGTTAGGGGTTTTTTTTTGTAATGATAAGGAGACCCACATGATTTTGGTCTTCTTTAAAGTTAATTTCCTCCTTACCCTCAGCTGGTCCCCCTAAGCGATCTCCCCCCTTGTCCGTTTGCGTGCATCTCCTTAGCTGGAGGTCAGCAGAGATGACACCCATGTGCATGTTCCCAGCATGCTGCAAGCCAAGCTCCGCCTCCCTCCACCGCTTTCCTTCTATAAACTAGACTGATGGCAGAAGG